GGGGGTCACTGGTCCATACTGGTCCATACTGGTGCATACTGGGGCACTCACCAGGGCGGTGGTCAGGCCCTGGATGCCCAGCAGGGTCCTGGCAGGGGTGTAAACCCCTAATCCCAGCACAGCAATCAAGAGATGGGGTGACACCAGGGTGACTCTGGGGGTGACTTTGGGTGACACTGGGGGGTCACTGGTCCATACTGGTCCGTACTGGTCCGTACTGGGGCACTCACCAGGGCCGTGGCCAGGCGCAGGATGGCCAGCAGGGTCCTGGCAGGGGTGTAAACACCCCCCATCCCACCAGGTAACCCTGGGACCAGGACACTGGGGTGACACTGGGGTGACACTGGGGGGTCACTGGTCCATACTGGTCCCTACTGGGGCACTCACCAGGGCGGTGGCCAGGCGCAGGATGGCCAGCAGGGTCCTGGCAGAGGTGTAGAGGCCGTCCCTGCTGCTCCAGGCCTCCCTCCTCATCTCCACGTAGGCGGCCGTGATGAAGTCGCCCAAGGCCTCGGGCACCCGCGGCTCCCGGCGCTTGCACATGGCCAGGTAACGTCTGGGGGGGTCAGGGGGGGGTCAGGGACACCCCAAAAATACCCCCGGGGGGGGAAAACCCACCCAGGAACAGCCCGGAACCAACCGGGAAAAAACGGCACGAAAATCACTGAAATCGGCCCAAAAACCTGCTCAGAACACCCCAAAAAACTCCTCAAAACACCCCAAAAACCTGCTCAAAACACCCCAAAAATCTCCTCAAAACACCCCCAAAAACACCCCAAAAATCTGCTCAAAACACCCCAAAAATCTACTCAAAGCACCCCCAAAAACACCCCAAAAACCTGCTCAAAACACCCAAAAAAACTCCTCAAAACACCCAAAAAAACTCCTCAAAACACCCCAAAAATCTGCTCAAAACACCCCAAAAACCTGCTCAAAACACCCCAAAAAACTCCTCAAAACACCCCCAAAAACACCCCAAAAATCTGCTCAAAACATCCCAAAAATAAAGAAAATGTCCTCAAAACACCCCTGAAAAACTCCTCAAAAACACCCCAAAAATGTCCTCAAAACACCCCCAAAAATACAGAAAATGTCCTCAAAACACCCCAAAAATCTGCTCAAAACACCCCAGAAACACCCAGAAAATCTCTTCAAAAACACTTTTCAGGGGCAATTTTGAGGGTGTTTCTGGGGTGTTTTTGAGGCCATTTTTGGGGTGATTTTAGGGTGGTTTTGGGGTGATTTTTCAGATATTTTTGGGGTGATTTCAGGGTGTTTTTGGAGTGCTTTTCAGGTGTTTTTGGGGTGATTTTAGGTTATTTTTGGGGTGATTTTGGGGTGTCACCCACCTCATGAGCCTCATGTCCAGGGGCTGGCAGGCGCTGGGGGGTTTTTGGGGTGATTTTGGGGTGTTTTGGGGTGTCACCCACCTCATGAGCCTCATGTCCAGGGGCTGGCAGGCACTGGGGGGTTTTTGGGGTGATTTTGGGGTGTTTTTGGGGTGTTTTGGGGTCTCACCCACCTCATGAGCCTCATGTCCAGGGGCTGGCAGGCGCTGGGGGGTTTTTGGGGTGATTTTGGGGTGATTTGGGGTCTCACCCACCTCATGAGCCTCATGTCCAGGGGCTGGCAGGCACTCGGGGGTTGCCGGCAGTGCTGGTGCACGAAGGTCACGTGTTGGGCCAGCCTGGAAAATGGGGGGAAAACGGGAATTTTGGGGGGCCCAGAAATCCAGGAGACCCCCCAAAAACTTCTGCCAGGGAACCCAAAGCTCTCCTGGGGATCCCAAACCTCATCCCAGAGATCCCAAACCCCAATCCCAGGGATCCCAAATGTTATCCCATGGATCCCAAACCCCAATCCCATGGATCCCAAACCCCTCCCATGGATCCCAAACCCCTCCCATGGATCCCAAACCCCATCCCATGGATCCCAAACCCATCCCATGGATCCCAAACGTTATCCCATGGATCCCAAATACCATCCCAGGGATCCCAAACCCCCTCCCATGGATCCCAAACCCCATCCCAGGGATCCCAAACCCCCTCCCATGGATCCCAAATCCCTCCCATGTTTCTCACCCCTCACCTGAGGTCCCTGTCCCTGTGGGGTCGGTCCTGGAGCAGCCAGAGCAGGTCCCAGACCCCATCCCATGGATCCCAAACCCCATCCCATGGATCCCAAACCCCCTCCCATGGATCCCAAATGTTATCCCATGTCTCCCAAACCCCTCACCTGAGGCTCCTGTCCCTCACCTGAGGTCCCTG